CGCCACCGCCGCCGCCGCCGCCACCGCCGCCGCCGCCGCCAAGGGTACTCTGTATTGTCCTTGTGACAGGGATGATGGGGGGAGGCCGCATCGGGTTGGCTGCGCATGCTCCGAATTTGGAGGCAGAGTGTGTTTTGTATGGTTTTTTATACCAGGGATGGTGGGGGGGGCCTCATGGCTCCTGGTTGGCTACCAGTCGCCTGGGGAAGGGGGCGTTTATAATAGGGAACAGTGATAAAACCCCTCCCCGAAGGGGAAGAAGGGGGTTGGAAAAGGAGCCCTCCCAATATCATTTACGCCCAGAGGGCTGGTGGGATTCTGTGCTCGCCGCACCTGCGAAACATACGCAGAGCGTTCGTCGATCCACGAGGCAGTGTATGCATGCGTTGTAGACTCGCCGAACAGATCGATTTTGGGATAAGTCAATGCTGCCGTCGGCCTCCTTCATAAACCTTCGTGGAGAAAAACTTGACGGATCAATTCGGCATCCACCCCCTCCCCGCCCCCGTCCAAATTTGGCCGCTACCGCACAGGGGCACTTCGATGCAGCATTTGGAGGGGGGGCGCCGCTGCGAGAAGATGACCCCGCGGCCAGGCAGTCCCACGAAGTCTCCGATGCAACTCCGAAGCGTTCCCTGAGCCCACGTCCATTACCGCCGAGTTTTCTTCAGAAGTGTGGTACGGTCGGACACTGTTGCTTAGCGTGTCGCGCCGACGGCTCTGGCTTGAGTAGGGCTGGGGGTCAGGTCTGCAGAACATCCCAAACGTACGTCAAGGGGCGCAACCAACCTGTTCGGTCAAACTGAAACTGATGCACCACACTCGGCGTCAAGCCAAAATTTTGGACCTAAGCGAATGGTTGGATTTGGGACATCTTCGCCGGCTTGACTGGCGAGGCGTTTGACCACCTCGACGTCCGTTTTCATGGTCGTGCAGAGGAAGGCGCTCTCTGACCCTCGACCCTACTCAAGCTCTGGCCCACCTGCTTCGGCGCGACACACTGACCACGCCCCAGTCCCAGAGCGTGAATGTTCCGAGCTCTTCCCAGCCTCCCGCCCCGGGGAGCGGAGCGACACGCCATCAGCTTGCAGAGCACAGGTTGTCGCCGGGGCTGCCGCCGCGACACGCTGAGCAAAAGTTTCTGACCGTAGACCCCAGGCTTCCTCCAGGACCACGTCTGCATCATGAGCCGTTATGTGACAAATCCGGGGCACGTGGAGGGCTCCGCTCGGTCTCTGCTCCTCCTCCTCCTCCTCCTCCTCCTCCTCCTCCTCCTCCTCCTCCTCCTCCTCCTCCGCCTTGGCCTCCCCTGGGGACCCCGAAAGCGGCGAACGGACTCCAGGACCCCTTTCCGCCATTCCGCCAGGACCCCTCCTCCTTCAAGCCACACGTTCACACAGGGTCTTGAGGACGAGTAGTTTTCTGAGTGTCCCCTTAGCCCAGCCCTCAGCCACGGGCCCCGTGGGCTTCCAGCTTCAGCTCCACTTGGGGCGCCCAAGGGCCTTGCAGCCTCAAGGCGCATCCCCGTGATCCGGTCGCACGGGAAGCGCCACTCACACAGCCGTGGTCTCGGGTGTTGCCAGAAGTGCCCCTGGCCCAAGGTGCCCGTGCCCCCAGGGCCGCCCAGGAGGAGGCGCCCCCAGCCTCCGCAGAAGCCCTCACGAGGTCCAGAGCGCCCTGGGGGCCCCAGACTGGGGCGAAGAGAAAGGCTTGGTATCGCTCGGACGAGTGCGGGGGTTACTAAGGAGCATCCTGGATCATCCCGCGACAAGACCACGCACGAAACCGACGAAAAAGCACAGGGAATGGACGTCCGAGCGATGGCCGGAAGGTGCCCGTGCCCCCCGGGCTGCCCAGGAGGAGGCGCCCACAGCCTCCGCAGAGGCCCTCCCGAGGAGGCCCCAGGGGCCCCAGACTGGGGCGAAGAGGAAGGGCACCGAGGGCCAGGGGCACCTCTGGCGGCCCCGCTGGATGCGCCGTTGCCGCCGCGCCGCCGCTGCCGCCGCCATCGGAGCTCCAGCCGGCGAGCACGGCCGAAGGACCGGGGGGAAGAGGACGAGGAGGAGGAGGAGGAGGAGGGACAGAAGGGAGAAGCGGAGGAGCGGGAGGAGGAGGAGGAGGAGCAGGAGGAGGAGGAGGGACAGAAGGGAGAATCGGAGGAGCAGGAGGAGGAGGAGGAGGAGGAGGAGGAGGAGGAGGAGCAGGAGGAGGCTCATCGCGGATTGCTTGAACGATGTCTGGCGGGAGAGATTCGTGCTTTCGACGTCAGCGAGGACGGGGGGGGGGGGGGCGGCCCGCCTCCCGGGCGGGGAGGGGGGGGGGGGGGGCGCGCCCTGCCTCGTGCCGTGGGCCAGCCAGGTCGTGCGGATGCTGGAGGAGGGCGAGCTGTTCGAGGTGTCCGAGACCAAGCCCCAGACGCTGGAAGGCGCTCGCGCGGAAGCGGAGGAGGAGGAGGAGGAAAAAGAGAAAGAGGAGGAGGAGGAGGAGGGGGAGGAGGAGGAGGAGGAGGAGGAGGAGGAGGAGGAGGAGGAGGAGGCGGGAGGAGGCGGAGGAGGAGGAGGAGGAGGAGGAGGAGGCAGAGGAGGAGGAGGAGAGGAGGAGGAGGAGGAGGCGGGAGGAGGAGGAGGAGGAGGAGGAGGAGGAGGAGGAGGAGGAGCCGGGGCTGTGGGGGGGAGCAGGGGCTGCTGGGGGACCTCGCTACCCCTGCACTGCTGGCTTCTAATCTGAAGTTTTCTGGACTCTATGCCCCTGGGAGTCACCCAGGTGCCCACGATCGCTCTTCTTCGCTCCCAGCCTCTCCTCCTCCAGCGCTGCTCGCGCGCCTCCCTCCTACTCCTCAGTATCCTCCCTCCTCTTGCCTCATGCCTCCTTGCTCCCCTTCCTCGCACAGCTCCTGCTGGGGGGCTGCGCAACTGTCGCCACTTTCGTGGGCTACCTTAGAAGTACGGCAGAGCAGGGGGGGTACGCACATGCGGCCGAGACCTCGCGGCTCCTTGCGGGGCTACGAACTGCGCAGTTGTCGCCCGTGTCGTGGGCTCCTGGGAGGCCCAGCGGAGTGGGAGAGTACGCACATCCAGCCGAGACTTCGCGGCTCCCTGGGAGGCTGCGAACTGCGCAACTGTCGCCAATTGTCCAGCGTCGGCCAATAATCAGTTTTATCAGCCGTTCATGGATTTCTTCGTGTCGCAGTCATGTCATCAACAGGACCAGGAGGAGAGGGAGAGGGAGGAAGATGAGGAGCAGGGGGAGGAGGAAGAAGGACCAGTGCAAAACCAAGACTCATCAACGATGTTGGAAGAAACCCTCACTCCAAGCTCCCTCTTCACAGGCCCCTTGGCCTCAGGGTGCGACAGGAAGGAGCTGTTTACAAGGACAGGAATAGAGCAGGAGGAGAGGGAGGAGGAGCAGAACTAAGAGGAGGTGGAGCAGGAGCAGGAGCAGGACCCACCCAGGAGCACGACTTGATCTTGCATGAACCACAAGGCCTATGGTTGCGCGCCCTGGGGCTGCCTCGACTGAGGTCGGACTGCCGTAGGTGCAGGCTTTGGCGCAGGAGCAGTAGCAGAAGGAGGAGAAGGTCTTGGCATCGCTCGGACGTGTGCATTTTTCCTTCGGCGAGGACCATCGAGGAGCATCCTTGATCATTTGGCGAAAAAACCACGCACGAAACAAAAAAAAACACAGGGAATGGACGTCCGAGCGATGGCCAGAGGTGGAGCAGGAGGAGGAGGAAGAGGAGAAGGAGGACCCCCGTCCCCTCGTTCCTTCCCCCCCTGCCCCTCCCCCCCTCTCCCCTCCAGGCAGGACCCTGACAGGCAGCAGGTTTGCGCCTGCCGCCGGGGGGGTTCCGCTTCCCGGCGCGGCCTCCCGGTGCGGAGCAGGGTGGAAGACGCCAGTGTTCCGCTTCCCGCCCCCACGGTGGGCGCACCCTGCATGATGGTCGGCTGGCCTTCCCTCGCCCCCTCCCCTTGCCCACTCCCGTCCTCCCCATCTGCCCCCTCTGCCCCCGTTCCGTGATTCCCCCTCTCCCCCCTAACCCCGCCCTCGCTCCCTTCCGCCCCTTCCCCCATCTTGTTAAATACCGCTCGTCTCCCCCCCCCCCGCGCCCTCTTGCCCTTTCCCACTGTACCATCACTCTCCTGCTCTACAGCGAGCCCGGCTGAATACGATCCCTCCTTTGATGCTGTATTTATTTTGGCCCGCGCATCCCCGCAGATTGATTTGTACACCGGACTGCCCCGAGTTGGTTTTCGATTGCATGTTCCCCCCATCAGAAAGTTCTCGACGCTTCAAGAATGAGGCTCCCGCTCTTCGCTGGCCAACTCTTCAGGATCGGCGCTTTGCCCCGTCGTTCAGAACTACGCTCTCACCGTCGGTGCCCCTCCTTTCCGAGGCCCTCCTCGTCGTTGCCGCGCCCCTCCTTTCCGAGGCCCTCCTCGGCGTTGCCCCTCCTTTCCGAGCCCCTCCTCGCTGTTTCCGCGCCCCTCCTAGGAAGGTTTTCTGGAAGGTTCCAGGAATCCTGGAACCTTCCTGAGGAAGGTTTTGGGAAGGTTTTCTGGAAGGTTCCAGAAATCCTGGAACCTTCCTGAGGAAGGTTGTAGGGAGGTTGTTGGAAGGTTCCAGGAATCCTGAAACCTTCCTGAGGAAGGTTTTGGGAAGGTTTTCTGGAAGGTTCCAGGAATCCTGGAACCTTCCTGAGGAAGGTTGTAGGGAGGTTGTTGGAAGGTTCCAGGAATCCTGGAACCTTCCTGAGGAAGGTTGCAGGGAGGTTGTTTGGAAGGTTCCAGGAAACCTCTCCCCTCCTCCGCCTTCCTCCGGTTTGGGGGGGGGCCGAGCTGGTCGACCAGAGCCCGGCCGTGGCTCTCCCGTGCTGGTGCGCCAGTTGGGAGCGAGCCAGGACGACGCTCCTGTGGATGTGCGGAGGTGGAATGTTCAGGCGATCGCAAACATGGAGGAAGGAGGAGGAGGAGGAGGAGGAGGAGGAGGAGGAGGAGGAGGAGGAGGGGGAGGAGGAGGAGAGGAGGAGGAGGAGGAGGAGGAGGAGGAGGAGGAGGAGGAGGAGGAGGGAGGAGGAGGAGGAGGAGGAGGAGGGGAGGAGGAGGAGGAGGAGGAGGATGAGGAGGAGGAGGAGGAGGAGGAGGAGGAGGAGGAGGAGGAGGAGGAGGAGGAGGAGGAGGAGGAGGAGGGGGGGGGTCATCTGGTTCCCCTGACTCTCCACCTTCTCAGGCGATCGCAAACATGGATCAAGGGGGGCGTGGATTAGCGACGGGTCCCGTTTCCATGGGGAATCGCGGATGTCCGCCGCCGAAGGAGGCGGCATTGGCCGCATTTGGGGGCGGGCACCTCCCCAGATCCATGGATTTGGCGACCGCGCGCCAAATCCATGCATCGCTAATCCATGTTCGCGCGCCCCCGAGAGAAGGTGCCGTACCCGCTCAGCACCGCCGCTGCTGCCGTCCGTCGGCGTGCCGCCCAGGGACATCGCCTGGGCCGCGCGGAAGCTGCCGAGGGCGTGCCCCCAGCCCAAGACCGCCGCTCGGACGGTGGCGCAGGGGGTGTGCAAGCAGATGTGAAGATTGGCGTCGCGGACGCGCTGATTCATAACCCCTCGGAGCAAGCGGCGGCACACGGCCCTCCATCCGCAGCCGCTGCCAGGAAGCATGGCGCCCTCGACTCGCGCGGCGCGGGCGCCGATCCAAGAGATCCGAGCGGACCTCCGAAGGTGCATGCTTGTGTCACTTCCACACTTTGATTCACGAGGCCGGCTTCTGAGAATAGAAAATTGCATGGTCATGTTTCTGTGTTGCGCATTGTGGTTTTAGTGTTTCAATCGGCTTGTCAATGGTTTCTGCATAGACCCCGTGAGGGGAAGCGGATTTGCTGCTTGGAGCTGCCAATTGCCAGTGGCTTCGTTTGCCGCCAGAAAAAATGTTTGCCTGCGCGTGGGCTGTCGCTCGCGTCGGCTCGAGGCTCGCATTGGTCGTGCGCACGGGCTTCGCTCGCCGCGTGGAGCGGCGGTGAGGGTTTGGGCGGCTGCAGCCTGCGGGGCGAAAGTCCTGCTCCGCCTCCTCCTCCTCCTCCTCCTCCTCCTCCTCTTCCTCCTCCTCCTCCTCCTCCTCCTCCTCCTTTTCCTCCTCCTCCTCCTGAGCCTCCTCCTCATCAATTATCATATGTTGTCATCCGCTTGTGCCCCATGCTCATCCTCTTGCTCATCCTCGTGCTCATCCGCCACCTCCAAGTCCTCGGGTGGACACGGCCCCCCTGTTCCTGATTGCGCATCACACGATGGGGTCATGTTAGGCATGAAGGCCCTCTAGGACCCCCCAGCCTGCGGACAGAACAGGATTCAACGCAGCAACAATGGAGTGGTGGGAAGAGCAGTGTGCCAGACATGGCGCCAGCGCGCCCAGCGTGCCCCCCTCCCTCTCCCCCCTCTCCTCCGCATCCGTCCCTTCTCCCAGCTCTCCGCCCGCCGCACTCACCCTTGCGCCGTTCTCTCTCATCTCGCCCTCCCCTCCCCTTCCTCGCCCTCCCCTGGGGATTGGTGTTCGCTGCAAGGGAAAGGAAAAAGAAACACAAAAAAAAAACTTTCCTCGGCCAACAAGACGCCGCCGAGAGCAGCAGATCGGGGGCCCAAAAAAAGGTGTGGCGACAGCACCGTGTGGCAAGTCAGTGGACATTCGGAGCCGCCGCACGGCCTTGGGAGCCGGGCCGCTCTCGGAGGACGTCTCGGGCGACCAGGGCCTCCGAGGTCCCAAGACCGTGCGGTGGCGGACCGCGCGGCGAGATCGTTGGGGATTTCGAGGTCACCGTCCGGTCGGTCACCACACGATTTTGGAACCCCCAAGCCGAACAACGTTTGGAAATGCTGGTCCCCAGGCAGACCGCTCCTTTCCATGACAGACCCCTCACGGGGCCTCGGGAGCGAGAGGGCCGTTGCAGAAGGGGCCTTGAGAGGGGTCGATGAGGCAGCGCCGGGGAAGTCCTCGTGAGCTCTCGAAAGCTGGGGGGGGAGGCGGGAGAAAAAGGGAGGAGGAAGTAGTTCCAGGCTTCCATCAAGGGTCCAAGTGGATGGGTTCGGAGGATCGCGCCGCATCGCCGATGCATTTGCGATGCGGTTTGACGTGGATAGCCCGATGTTCTCCACGCCGACGTCGCCGATGCATCGCCGACGTCGCTGGTGCATCGCCGATGCGTCGGCAATGCATCGACAAGGCGGCGCGAGGCGCCGACCCCGTCCTGCACGGACCCCAGCTAGGAGGCCTCTGCGGACGTCCGACGTACAGATGTTGTTGACGAGGTCCCCAGAAGGAGGAGGAGGAGGGGGAGGAGGAGGAGGAGGAGGAGGAGGAGGAGGAGGAGGAGGAGGAGGAGGAGGAGGGCCGGCTTGGCATCCCGAGGCGTTGTTTGGCGGTCCCGGGGCACGGCGAGGGTCCCCAGAGGCCAAGAATTGTCATGTTGCGAGCAGATCTGGGGAGGGAGAGGAGAGGGAAGTCATGAGCTGACCGCTAGCACCGATACCTATGGGACCCCAAGATGTCTGGGAGTGGAATTCCGTGGGAGGCTATGGGTGGGTGTTGTCGGATGGGGGTCCCCGCTCGATTGGGAGGCCCCCCCGGGGCCCGACACCCCGCACCCATCCCTCGAGCGCCTTCATCTCCTTGCCCTGTCCCCTTCCTCCTCCCTAGAAGGTCTAGCGCGTGTTGCTTCTCATCACGAATAGGAGAGAGGAGAACAAGCCACCAGCTGCTGGATGTGAAGTGCCGACGTGTTGCTTTTGTTTATACGGGGTCCCTGGAAGTCACGACCACTTCCCAACGGCCAGCTTGTCATCCCGAGTCGTCTCTTGACGGCCCCCAGAAGCCGAAAAGTGCCAAGCAGTGTGTGCCCCGATTTTGCGCTCACGTTGCGAACATGTCTGGGCAGGGAAGGAGGACAGAACAGGAGAGAGGAAAACGAGCCACCAGCTGTTCTAGCCCACCACGCTTCGGTGCGACACGCTATTCACCTCCTGCCCCGCGGAGCGGAACGACACGCCATCCGCTCGCAAGGCATATAGCGTGTCGCCAGGGCCGCCGGGGGCGACACGCTATCCAAAAGTTCCCGACTGTGGGAGAGAGGAGACCGAGCTACTGCACGTGAAGTGCTGAGCTCCCCGCCAGATGACGGGACCCGAGAGCGGCGGCAGCGGCAGCGGCGGCCTTCCCGTTGCTCCAGGCGCCTTGCGGGCGAGAGGGCGGATCGTCCCCACCGGCGACGACGGCTCGGGCGGTGCGCCCCTCGCGGCGTTGCCGGTATGGTCGAGAAGTGGGGATCGCGTCGTGAGGGGGGGAGCTGCTCCTCCTCCTCCCCCCCCTCCTCCTCCTCCTCCTCCTCCTCCTCCTCCTCCTCCTACTCCTCCTCGTCCACCTCCTCTGTCTCCTCATCATCATCATATCCACCTCCTTCTCCCGCTCCTCGGGCATGGTACCGCATCTTGGTGCCAGCACCACCTATTGCGAACAGTACACCACTGTCACGAAGCTGGCCTCAGGGAGCTGGGGCAAGAAGGCGGCCGTTCTTTGCCGTGATGGAGGGTTCAACTCCCTCGCACCATGGGTTCACGTCACAGGTTTGGCAATGCTTGCCCTCTTGGGTCCGCGTAGTTGGCCCGCCGTATTAGGGTCGGCGCGGGGGGTCCGCAGTATCAAGACCTGTTTGTCTCCAGGGGCTGATGTTCCGTTCACCCCAGCACCACCAGAGACACACCATCTCGAGGAAGATGGCCGCGAGTGGGACAGCGTCAAGCCCTTGACCTGTGCCAGCGCAATATTCGTCAAGGTGCGCCCTTCGGGCACGACTAACGTTGTCGCATCGCACAGCGTCCGCAGCTTCCTTCTCCCACTCCTCATCGCTCTCCGCCGCCCACTCCTCCCACTCCTCCCACTCCCCCTGCTCCTCCTCCTCCTCCTCCTCCTCCTCCTCCTCCTCCTCCTCCTCCCCCTCCTCCTCCTCCTCGTCTCCTCCTCCTCCTCCTCCTCGTCCTCATCCTCCTCCTCTTCGTCCTCCTTCTCCTCCTCCTCCTTGTGCTCCTCCTCCGCCTCCTGTTC